TAATTATGATGATGCTTTGTTGATTAAAGGCACATTATGTGTCAGAAACAAATAGTTACTTCTTTTGAGAAAAGGCAAACGTGTATTGTACAATGTTTAAATAATGGTTTTAGGAAATGTAAGGTGCTCGATACTCGAAGAAAGAAACGGTAAATGTGAAAAAAATTTAATAAAAGTAACAAAGTATTATGACTTCAATAAAAATTACCAATTCGCTGTAAATATAATGCCAAACAACAAGAGATGGAAAAATGGTTAAGGTAATTGACCAATGAGTAAATTTTTTGAATACTATAAAAGTTCACCATAGTAAAAAAAAGGCTTGTGAGAAATGAAACATAAAAGCATACCTGAGGCATAATGGGCCTTTAAGCAGGCAACCTAAATACCAAGATATGCTACAGTATTTCATATTGTGGGGAAAATCAAATGTTTCACTTTTTTCAAAGAATTGATATTTAAGACATTAATTCTAAAAGGTTATACTTGTAAATATCTTGGATAATTTCTGGATTTAAAAAAATCATTGACATTTTCCGTAACACACGATACTTAACCGCGAAATATGAAATACAAGATCCTCAAGGAAGGGCGGATATCAATGAACGCAGGAAGAACATAGTAACTCTCCTTAAATGGTACTGTAGTGCTACATTTGTAAAGTATATGCGTCAAAGCTTCATTCGAATGTTTCTGTAGTGTTTCATATTAATAACAACATTGTTTCATCTTTTTTACTCTGCCTAATAAATCGTTAGACTTTTTCAGTTTACCTTTACATGATTTAGTCTGTACCTGTAAAATATTAACGTATATGCTTCAATTAAACTGCATATCGAGTGCAATTAAAATTTGAAGTATATTTGTTACAATAGATTTTTCATGTGTTACAAAACATCTTGTCGATAAACGCACATTTATTCATATAACTTTACCTAACTGACAGATATACGCAATACGGCCACAATTCAGAGGGTAATAGAGAGAAGCATGTAACATCTTTTAACATTGGCTTCAAATCCATCAAGGTGTCTTTATAATAAGAATTTTGATTTATAAAACAATTTCGTTGGCGGCGATATAGTCCTTATTAGCTTCAAACACACTTTCCATATAATTAATTTTAATAAGATTAAAACCAGGTGCACTTCCCCCCGAGGTTACATTCTTTTATTTATTTTTATGATAAACACGATTGTAGACATAGCTTATTTATATTGAATTATGATAAAATAATTTGTTAAAGATTCATTAAAATATATGGAATTACCAAAATGTCTGTTAATTAATGAAAATTATGAGTGCAATGCACAAACCTGATTAAATAACGACGAACACACAATTTGAATACGCCACATGGTTGGCAATCAAGTTATGGTTTATTTGCAACGCAATTCAATGATATAAAGTCTTTTTGTTTTTGGTGTAAAAATATGAAAATCAGGTTAAGTCTCAATGACATTGTTAAGGTCATTTTAGGACTTTATTTTTGAAGGTCTATTTATTAGTAATCGTCTTTTTAATTTCTTGTTTATTTCTAATATTTCCTATTATGTGTATTTTTAAAGTAATCGCCCCGTCTATGCTTTGCCTTGTGTCCTGCCCTGTCTTTCATATGTTTGGTGCCTTGATGCGCGTTTTGCCGGTGGTTCTGTGTCGTGTGGGAGTTACTTTTATTGAACGCTGCCCGTCCTTGTTTTTCATATTTTTACCACTTGACCTTTAAGTGTGCCCTTCATCTTGGGCATAGCAATTATTGCGCTCTTCAACTCGTCTCATAATGGTGATACCTTGTGCGAAGTTCTTTTAAAACATTTCAGCGGTTGAAACGTTACAGAGCTGACACAAAAGTGTTACGGACGGACGGACAAACAGGCGGAGGCCATTCCTATAATCCCCTCCCCGCTTTGCGGAAGGAGATTAAAAGTTCAAAGGAATTCAGGCAAAATGAAAATTATATTGCCTTTCACTTGTTCATTTATTAAATATCCTTGAATTGGTATGTCATTTAATATCTTAAAATAAGTTTTTATTCCCTTTCTCAAATTATTTAACTAATTTTTTTTAATTTTTTTGACTGATATTTTCCAAACAAATAGAACTCGTTGACCATATATCTGAACCTTTTTTTGCCTCCTTTACTTTTTAATTAAGTAATTATGGTACTTTTGTGTAGACGCCTTATAGTACTTTGTTTTCAATTTGCTACTGTCAAGAGAATAGTATTCGCATGCAACACTTTTTTGCACAAGGTAAGCACATATAATGGTCTTAATATATTATCAAAATTAAAGATATACTTTGCCAAAATATGATGTTATAAAATATTGATGATTGCTATACAATCTCTTTGTGAATATAGAATAAACATGTTTTGGATTCACACAAAGTAGATATATTTAAAATTCGACACACTACAAGTGGTCACAATTTGAATATAAATTGTCACAATATGGCTCATATAGTGTCATTTAAAAAGCAAAACACTCTTAGTGTTTTTTTAGAAAAGATATTATAGTTTATTCCTTCTTGTATTCAAATTAAACGTATTCAGTTAGAATTTCATAGATTTTGATTGAAATATTTCATTCAAAAATTAACGTTGTACTTATATCTTTAGTATAACGTTGCTTGTGTATGGCATTGTTTACAAAATTTCTAAATACTTCTTGAACACTGACTTTATTATGCATTTTTAACTAAACTGCATGTGACACTTTAGAAATAACATTAAATAGACAAAACGGAACATTTTACTGGTTGCCAAGCACAATCAAATTATATATGTTGCAGGTCAGAATTGATTGAGCCTGTTCAAGGACGGCAGTGATGAAACAGTCTACCATAAAGACTTTTTGTTTAAACGTTCATTATGTTTTGATCAGTTTATATGCTAAAATAAACTTATTTTAATAAACGATAGGAGTCATCCTTGTTTATTTAAGCATTTTGTATTGAACATTGCAGCTACTTAGTAAGAACTCATACAAATTTATAAACATGTTAGATATGTCTACAGAATTATCAACGATATGCTATAAATCATTTGGATCCTTTCCACAATGATCATATATCTCTGAAACATTGACATGTCATTTAAATTGCTAATGTTATGTTCCCAAAATAGCTGCATAGGAAAACTTTATTGGACGAGGTCATAGAGATTACATCGACAGATTATTCCACACAATGCTTCAATAACAAGTCATCGACACGAATGAAAGAAATGTTCAAACACAGCAGACATGTATCTTTATGTGATAACACCTGTAAACTTTAAGATGCTGTAATATCAAAATAAATGCAAATATGACAAAATGTTTTCACATATATCAATCATTGCTGTTGAAAGTCGAGTGGTGTCAAAATAATACATGTACAACTGCGTTAACATACAACATATCTATCCAGCTTCACAAAGAGCTTAACTGATATCAAATACGCCATTGCTGAGCGTACATGCAAACATCCAGAGCAATATAATTTTATTTGAGAACAAATAATAATATTTCTTTCGTGTAACGCAACGCAATTAACGTTCCGGTTTCATTATAAATTTTGTGACATGATGTCATTGGTTCACACCTCTATGAAAGGTCAAGCAACCTGCATATACGAGGTATTCATACATTTTCAAGTGAAATTCTCAGAAACGTATATTTTTACAATCTAATATTTCTTAGATACTGCAAAATGTTTTATGTGTACTTGTTATATCTTATGTGTTCAACTTTCTTCGCTATTCATTATCGCTTGATGACGGCCATTTTTGGAATGTGTTTTCTTCCATCCATTATAATATTATGATCTACAGATGTACAAAACTGCTGATTTCTTTATACATGTATCCATGTTATGTTAATATATTGATAATTTGTTTTTTTACTAAATATGATGTCCTCATGAGTCTTTCACCTTCTGGAATTTACTTGAATAAAATCTTGTGATTGTTTGCTAACGATAGACAAACATTCACACTTTTTAACTACTTGTTACATGACCGAAATTAAGTACTGTAAAGAAATTATGCCAGCTAGCGTCAGACACACGGTAAATGTCAGTGCCATAACATAAGGCTGATTGTTTAAACGTCACGGATCATTTTCCCTGTTTTGGAGATAATATGGTATTTAAACAATAAATATAATTTCTAGGAAAACAATTCTTTAAATTCGGCAAAAGTGTGTTCTAGCTATGTTACTGCAAATATTTGCTTCAATGCGCCAAAAACATCAGACAGTACAACATTTTATAATGTGTTTTTGAAACTAGTGAATTGTTAAAAAGTTTGGCTGGTACAATTATCTCTTCAACTTTCAATCTAGACTTAAACGGCAAAAGTTAAAAACAGCTAGATTTGTATTATTTGTTTCTTCCTTAGCCTTCATGAAATAATATAGAAAACAAATATGTCTTATATTCTGAGCTTATGTTTGACTGATAGTTACACGCCGGTTATTGTATAATCGCAAAATAAACTTACGGATATCGCAGACACGATTTGTACGATATATATGCATATACATAGCGCTGGCTTAAGACGCATTTTACATTTAAGCTCAGAGACAAGTCATTAGTCGTAAAAGGTTACACATGTAGATGGACATCAGTGGCCATCAGCAGTGATCATCTAACCATCAATGTGGAAAGTTTGTGTCATTTCATTAAAAGTGACATACCGAATCTGCCTGAACGAAGGCACTTATGCTTAACATGAAAACATTGATTTAAACTTAGTTGTTTGGGTATTTTAACTCTGCCATAAATACTCTTGTTCCTACGCGAATAGAATGTAAATATTCAAAACAAGAATTGTAAACTTGAACAAAGCTAGCTAAATTGAAAATACATTGTGAAAAAGAACATACTGCATAACCTTTTTGTATTATGTAAAAGGAAGAAGGAAGTTTTTTCAAAGGTATTTTGAAAAGACAATACATATTACATGTACATATTTGTAAGGACAGAAGGAAGTTTTTATTTTGTCAAAAGTCAAATTTTGTTTAAAGGTGTGGTGCAGAAAACTATTTTTTAAAAGTGACCGACTCGTACCACAGGAAAACAAAAAAAGACATTTTGATATTAACAATTAATAAAATCGGGCAATTTAATAATAAATATCACCTAAAATGAAAAACATATCTGTTTTCTGCATTGCTATGGTACTATTTGTACTCGGATTAGTTATTGTTCGTTGCGATGACAGTACAACAGCATGTAAAACTTTGGAAAATGATTACAGTGTACTCCTTAAACTGATAAAACTGGAGGAGGAGGTTATGAAACAAGGAGCAATAATTAAAGAACATAGAGAAGAAATAAGAGGTAAATTGTATATAGATTATTCACAAGGTTTTATTATGATAGAGTGGATTCTTTATCGTAGATTATTATCGTTTCTTCATGGCGGATGAATGTTAATGTATGAACATCCTAATGCATTATCTCTACTCTGTTCTTTTGTCCTTTAAATATAATAAATGTATCTCTCATATCCCTTTACTGAAGGAAAATGTGTTTAATTTTGATTATTGAATTAATGTAGGTATTTATTGGCTAAGTAATGACAAATATGGTAACTGATATTTTCAAAGTGCACTGAAATCAAAACAAGACGGTTAAGTATTTAATATTTTACAAGATCAACCAATATACGTTTTAGGGAAACTTTGAAAACAGGCACTTATTTAATTAAATTTTAGGATTTTTTTTAAAATAAGGCTCTCTAAATAGAAAATTGGTCAAACACGTTTTAAAAAATGGTAGGGTAGGGTAACATATTTTTATAAAGTTTGAGTAGAAACAATCAGTTTATGTGGCTTGTTAGCTGATTATTACATTTTGTTTCTTACCAAAAATTGATAGGAAAGAATGATATAAAAGATTATTCAAGGTGTCTTATTTCTGAGAAAGGGCCCTTGTAAAATCTAAGATTTGGTTTAGAAAAGTGGTCATCATTCGATTTTTACGTACGGTAAAGTTTCTTAAAATTTTGCAAACATTCCCTTCAGGTACATGTCTGACCTATGTAGTCATTTTTTCAGTTCCTAATAATGCCCGTTAAGATGGTTATACCTTAAAGTTTCCAATCTATAATGATTATAAGCTTGTTTTCCTCCTTAATTTAGATTTGTGTTTTATAGATAACATTTCTTAATTGCTAATATTCAATCAATTAGATATTGTCCCATGAATAAAAAGATGTATAACGTTGAAAACCTCAATAAAAACTATTTAACGTATTATTATATTTATCTTAAAGAAAATCGTAAGGCCTTTGAGAAGCACAATGCAGATGGATCTACGTACATTCGTTGGGGTAGGACCATGTGTCCAAGTGGAGCTACGGAAGTATACAAAGGCTATATAGCAGGTTCATTTTACACACATAGTGGGGCAGCCGCACGTCCGTTATGCTTAACTACCAAACCTACATGGGGCTATTATACAACAAATGAAGAATCATCTGCATTTATTTACGGAGCCGAGTATCAAGCAGATGGGTACAGCAGATGGAGCTCAATACACCAACATGACCCGCCATGTATTGTTTGTCGCGTACCCCATAATGACGTGTTAATGGTTCCAGGCACTAGCGTTTGTCCAAATTCCTACAGTCTACAATACAACGGTTATTTGATGGCGGGCCATCACGCACATCCGGCAGCTACAGATTACATTTGCGTTGATGGTAATCCTGAAACAATTGACAGAAGTTATGCAAACACTAATGGATTTTTGCTTTACTTTGTCCAAGCCCAATGCGGTTCTCTCTCTTGTGGACCTTATGTACAAAGCAGAGAGATAACATGCGCTGTGTGTACGTTTTCTTTATAACACTGAATCCCGACTTTGAATTTTGTACATTGGCAATTGATTTACAACGAAACGCAAATTTTATATTAATTCAGATGTTACTTTTATATTTCTATTAAACAATTTATCATTTATCAAACATGCAGTATAGTTATTCAGTTTATACAGGGGACATGTGCTTCATGTGTGTTTTGATGTAACAAAAGTGCTATAAATTCAAACATTTTTACTTATTTTAGATATGAACAAAACTTCAAAAGTATCAGTGCTTCGAAAGAAAAAAACCACTATATATCTAAACTTTATTATTTGTCTGATGACTTTCGTATATTAACAATGAAATGTTATTAATCATTATCATTTATGATGATCGCTAGCCATGCACCAGAATTTAAATAGGTGGAATATTTGTTCGTTGATTTTTCATTAATATGGTTCTATCATAAAATTAGTTGACCATCTAGCAAACATAAATACATTCTTTGTACATGTAAAAACAGTATATAATTCATCATTTAACTTCTTTTTTTCCATTCATGTTAAACCTATTCTAGGTGAACCCCAATATGCGCTTATGACTACTTCCTGTGTGTCGAAACATCATTTTTTCCCCGTTTGCTAAGTTCTGCGGGGCTTCTTGACAATGGTCATGTATAAGGGGATGAGTTCATTGAATGCCACCCTTCCTTGTTGATTTCGTTCTTCATATTTTGTTGAAAACTAATGAGAATGCCAACATGCGAGAAATTCGAATTTAAACTGTGAAACCTATGAGAGGCAAAAATCCAAATGAAAGAAAATGCATCATATATAATTCTCCATTACATACCACCTCGTATTTAGCAAAACATAACACAAGAAACGTCATTCTAGATATACTTGTAATACAATACCTTTCCTTGTGCTGTCTTATATTATTTGTTCATGTGATTTTCGATAAAGGCTATGAAGGAAACTCCAAGAAAATGTCTTATACGGATAGCCTCTTAAATCGATTAAATCAATTATCAGTATGCACAAATTATCAATATCACATGTGCAGATCTGTACTTTAAACTGAGAATATTTTAAAGTAATTAGTGATTTTTATGTGTACTAAAGCTGGCTCACGGCTGTTATTGAAAGATAGCTATTCAGGTTTACGACTCATTCAGATTTGATTGTACATTGTATAATGCAGCGTTTCTTTGTTCAAAACATTATTTCAAACTTAATAGAAAATCTTTTCATTACTGATATAGTACTTTCATTTTGTAACATTTTGACAATGCTTCTGCCAGCGTCAAATTTCTTCGCCAGGCTAATATAAAGTAATTCAATTAGAGTAACAGTTACACTAGTTGCAATTTTTAAAGTTATAAGAAAAAATTATTTTCATTTTTCCAACTTAATGAATGATTCTGTGAAGTGTGTAGTGTTTTCACGCATGTAATTGATATGAAATATTAATTGAAGGAATAAGTATTCTTTTAAGTTAAGTTTATACTTTTGCTGGTTCTATCGCAGAATATGACATTCTGGTAACCACTCTTAATTCTAAATTCTTAAATATGAAAATGCAATGAAATATAGGGAAAGAAATGTTTTCCCAACAAATATAAACATATTTTACGTCGGAAGTATTGTTATTAATATTATAGTTAAGTTGCATACTGAAAAGAAATCTCTCAATGTATAGTCAACTTTAGTTAAAAGCATTCCATTTACCCAGATTATAACAATTAGGGTTTTGCTAAAAGGCGTTCACAAATTGTTAGTCGGATAAATACAAATACTTTATCTTGCTTCAAATCTTACTCGTTATTGTTATTAGACAATGGAAAACATATACAAAACAATAGCACGCTAGCCTAGACATTGAAAAGGGTATGCGTCGAATATAGTAAGACTTTAGAATAGTTTCTTTTTGAAATACCAGTTTAAAACAAGGAAAATGTACGTATGAATTGCATGAAATATGAAAGCAAAGATCAACAAGAAAGGGCGGCATTCAATAGACGTATCCTCCCTAGCATAATCAAGTAATATCGGACAACTTAACTTTGAATTGCAAATCCATTAAAATAAATCTTGAGACTATTCAAAATACTAAACAAATGAAGTTTACTGGTAAGTTTCCTATCGCCAGCATGTGCGCATGAGAATAATTTGTTTTGTTGTATTTTACATATGTGGACCAGGACACATTAAGAAATCACATATGGTTACCTAAAATGTAACGATTACTTTTACATTCATCTACGCATTTTGTAGTTTGTCAAGAAAGCACTTGATAATAAAGTGTGAATTACTGTTTGGATTTATGTGAGCCATTAAACACGCTTGCAGAACAAAAGTTCAGAATTTCTAACAAACGTCTTTTTATATTCTTATTCTATACCCACACAATGAAAAACATCTCTTTTTTTGTTTTTATATATTATATAGTAGTTATGTATGACTTTCTGGATAAGATTGCAGATTTATTACTAAATCATTTTTATCACCTCGACGATGATGAGAATAACAATGAAACATTGACTTACTAGTAAGTTTACTAATGTTTGTCCTGGAGATTTGAGTTCAATAGTACATGGAACATTAAAGGGAATAGTTCATACAGAATTCATCAATACATTTTATCCAGAGTATGTCTTGCTATGTTCCAACATAATTTGTTAGAATGGAGATAACTTATTTTTTCTGTAGCACTGCTGACATATGACCGACTCGATATTTATTAATACAATAACAACACGATGAATGCGTAAGGTTAGACAATCTATACTAATTAGAATTAGAACAATATTCGAATTATTAAAGTACAAGTTATTTTGTACATCTTAGCTTAACCCTAGCATATTTTTGCATTAAATATATGTATCGCCGTTATCTCATGTGCTTGTGGTTACACGGTACCTATCCACAGACACTTGTGGTTTGGAGCTCAAAACGCCTTTAAAATCCAAATAAAATGCATATTTGTCAATCCCAGCACATGTACTGATCATATATATATATATATATATATATAATATATATATATATATATATATATATATATATATATATATATATATATATATATATATATATATATAATATATATATAAAAAACTTAATATAAGCCGTTTTGAAAAAAAATACATATTTCAACATCTATAATACTACACAAGATAAAAATGTTCACCGGAAAAAAATCCGCACCCCTACCGTCATAATCACCATGTATTTTATTCCATTTCCAATATTTTCACATAGTCCTTTGGTGCATCGACGGTCAGAAGATATAATTCTTCACTAAACAACGCAACAGCCGAAATAAACATCAAGATTATCGCCGTTTTCCTCCATTGACAAAATCTTTCGATAAATTCAAACGTGGCCCCAGCTTTGCCGTGTGCAAAATGCGCAGCGCTTTTAAGTTTGGGAACCAACATAATCGGATGGCTTCGTTCATAGCCGACTGGTTTCCATCTTCAAAAAAAACAGTCGGCTATGAACGAAGCCATCCGATTATGTTGGTTTCCAAACTTAAAAGCGCTGCGCATTTTGCACACGGCAAAGCTGGGGCCACGTTTGAATTTATCGAAAGATTTTGTCAACGGCGCAATATAAACTAGATTGTATTGGTGCATTTCCTTCATTCAAAATGAATGTTAATTGGAAGTGTATTCAATGCTAATGTATATCGTTCTAAACGACAATCATCTCTATGTAAACGCTTAGCTTGCATCAGGCTCATCTTGAATATATCGAAAATTCAGATTATGGGACAACACAATGTCAAAAATTATGCACAGTAAATTATCCGCATAATGAAGATTAACGGAGATAATCTAAATATAGAGAGATCGTAAAGTAGTTGGTGCGCTTTGGAATTTATCGCCTTTTTAACGTTATTGTCCTTATATAGATGTTACAACATACATCTATATAGCAAGGTAGTTATTTTCAGTATAATTCATCAGTAAAATATTGCCTTTTAAAGAAAGTTTGTGAATATGTCTTTTAAAACATGTTTATACATTTGAGAATGTTTTATAAAATAGTTGCAAAATTTGGAACAATATAATTATACGTATTTCATGTTCGCATACAATACATTTGTCTCTATATATTCTGAAGGGCAATAAATGTCTTGCATGTGTTTTGACATAACGGACTGGGACATTTCTGTAATAATGTTCCATTTAATGAAGATTAAGACCTGTGTGCAAACTTCCAGATCATTCGCTCACTCCGATTTTCCAGAAAACTACTCTTTATTGTGACAAAATGTTCTAAAATTGAAAAGCATTACAACGCTTTCACGCATTACAGGATTAACTAGCAAACAAATAAAAACGATTTTTTTCTGAAAATATTTCTTTAATATACATATCTGTCTAATGTAAGTGCCCCAATTGAAGTATATAGGAAATTCAAATTTTACTTTTTTTACTTTGGTGGAGTTCCTATTAACCATGTAGTGATAAATATCCATTTGTCAATTTAGTTACTAATTTCAAGTTTTTGATTTCACGATAATAACATCAAAAAAGTCATGGCCGTGACCATGAATCCATGGTTAAACCGGTGTATGTTTTGAAATAAAAGAATTAGGTCGAGTACATCGGCGCACGTGAAATAGGAACATACTATGGAAGGTAATTTGTCATTCATTCGCACAGTAAAGGATTTTCATTATTATTTTATAAGATAAGTAAACAATGACTTTTTTAACACTGTCGGTTTTATTTGACAAGAACATTCAATTTGTTTTATATTTCAAAGAGTTTGATTTTTTCTATGAATATGGGCACTAATATAACAATTAAATTACTCAGTCTCTCCAAGCAATAAATGTCTGAACAAAATCAAATAAAGGAAATAGGACAAAAAGCAAATAAAAACCAACTGTTGCTATCTCCAATTATGTAACTGATCTTGCGGTGCTATCTTTTTATATATTTTTTTGTTTCACTTAAACTCTTTATCTTTTTTCAACATCTTATACACATATGCTTTAAAGTTGTTGACTTAAAAGAATTTGCCTGTCTCCGCTGTAGGTTCGAGCCACGCAACTGGCGCCGGTCTCTACATGTACGAAAGCCTATCCAAATAGCTTACGGAGCTTGGCGGTTCTACTTAGGTGCCCGTTTTATATCTGAAACAATATACATAGGGAAAACCTGAAGTCTTCCACCATCAGTTATGCATGAAAATCACTAAATGAACTATACTGTGTTAGGGCGGCGTAAAACACGAACCTTACCAAATTGGAATTAATTTAGACACCTAAATAAGTTATTATGTATGTTCTCCTTCAGACACAGTTTGAGCAGTTTGTGAATTATAGTAAGCATTTAGGTGACGAGTATTTCCTTTATTTTGTTCTTACATACTTACTTTTGAAGTCGATATGTAAAAGAGGGACGTTGACTTAAGACGGCCTTCAAAGTTTTCTTAGTTGACTTTTCAAGTATACACACAAAAGCAGCAATATCTTATTATTTCTCTGGGGGTACATAAGTAAGTAAAATAATCTTT